CCCCCCCCCCTGGTACCGGGGTATGTGTAATCCCGTTACAAATACGTCACGAATTGTGGTCCCTCATGATGAAGATTTGAAGTACCGTATCCTCTATGAGGCCCACGCCACCCCACTCAGTAATTATCTCGGTCGTGAACAGACCTACAACTCTGTAAATTTCCACTTCTGGTCGCCCAAGCTATACAAATGGACGACCACCTATGTGCGCATGTGTGAGACGTGCCAAAGGGGGAAACACTCTCCGAATGCGGCGGCGCCGCTGGTCAGTTTTCTATTACCCTCCGGGTGCTGGCAGTCCATGAGTATGGACTCTGTGTTTGGCCTGTCGAGGCCTCGGCGGGCAACACGGATGTCATGATCTTCGTCGACCTTTTGAGCGAGATGGCTCATCTTACGGCAGTAGCGGGCACCATTGACCAATGGTGTGGGTACAGCGACGCTGTTTGTAGATCGTGTCTTTCGACAACATCGGCTCCCGGAGTTAGTTGTCTCTGAAAGAGACCCACACTTGACTAGGAAGTTTTGGTCGACGTCTTCAGGGTGCTGGGCACCAAGTTGACTATGTCAACAGCGGTTCATCCGCAGACCGATGGTCAAACTGAACGCGCGAATTGCGTCGTCGAGGACGTCCTTCGCAGCGTCTACGCTGAGACTCCGAGGCGTATGCTGCCACATGTAGAGTTCGCTATGAACAATGCAGTGCATGCATCTGCACGCCGTTCTACGTTAGCCAACTTGTTCATCATCGCGTCCCGCTGACGCTGTCATCCCATGGCTCAGGGCTTGGTCGGGGGAATACCTGAGCGGCTAGCTGATGCCAGCCCCCTCGCTGATCCTAAAGAAGTCGATGACTTCCTGTCTACCAGGCTGAGTGTCTTATGACACGTTCGCAAAACAAATGTTGAAAACTTTGAGGTCGGAGACGGTTTCATTAAAGGCTAAAAAGCTTTCTACGCGTGCAGTTTCTGCTGTCGTTTAGGCGAAGCTCCGTCCACGGACCACCGGACCTTTTAAGATCGTGGCCAAACGAGACCTAGCGCATACGCCAAGTCCTTCGGGACGGATGCGTATACGCCCAGTGTTTTAAGTGGGCTTGCTTAAGCCGCTGGTCGTTGAAAAATTACGGAATTACACAAGCGCGTAGAGCTCAAATGTGGCGAGATCGACTACGGCAACGTATCGGGGTCCGGTGCAAGTGGACGCGGAAGCGATGGCGCCGGATCAGGCGCTCGACCACCCAGAAGCTGGACTAGCAACTGGTTTTGAGCACGGATTGCAACGATCTCCAACGACGCCAGGCGCTCCACCGTCGCACGAAATGACGCATTCGTCTGACCGACGGCTGAGAACTGCTCGGACAGAGCTTGACAGTCCTCAACGTGAGGCAGTCGGTGCAAAAAGTGCTCCAAGCTCTCGAGGTCTTCCGCACAGCAACATGCAAATTCAGCATGATGCTCAGCGGAGTCCCGATTACGACGGACTGTGTCCTCAAGAGCTCGAAGAGCATCGCGAGTCACCGGACGGTAATCGACCTAGTCGTCATCGTCTGCCACCGACTCTTCTCGACGAGAACGGTGGCGTCCACTAGTATGTTATGAAGTGGTGGTGGTACCCAGCCTCCAAGAACTTGCGGAAGTTTGAATGCCACTTTGACAAGACTGTCTAGACGTCGTGGACGCTCATGACCAGAGAAAAAATGACGCTCCGCGTCATCGTACGCCCCGCGCTTCTCGGCAATAGCCGGGGGGGGTTGAAGGGCAATGAGCTGAGCTCAAGCTATAACCCTGAGCTGCTGTAGACGCAGTCTCACCCATGTGAGAGACCAGAGCTCAGGAAAGCGTAATTAGTTAATCCATACGTTGCAGGGCAACAAGACGAAAATAGACGGCGTTGCGTCTTTAGTTTGGCAAAATCGAACTGAAGCTGGCGTTCCACGCGCACGTTTGTCCTCATGGCTCGCTGTAAGTTAGACATCGAGGATGGTTTTTGGTGCCGCTGCACCTATCGCTCAAAGAGCTCTTCGTCATCTGCAGCGGTTTCGCCAGGGGCGAGCCTCACAGGAATCGTCCGCATCGCGAAAACAGGGGCGTATCCTCTTTGAACGCGAAGTCGAGTGCGGTACATATCCATTGGGATCTTTGAGGTACCAAGGAGCGAGCTCGGATATCTTTTTGTTGGTCAAGCTCAGCTTGTGTAGTGGCTGAGGCCCGACCTCGTAGACGCCCAACTGATTGGTTGATCGCGTTCTTCGCTACAGTAGCGAGATCCGCCGAGTGGAAGCCGTAATCAACACGAGGGTCTAAAACCGGCCGTGGATGTGCACGCATATCTGCCTTGCGGGTGGTCTCCAGCTGCTACTCCTGTGCGTCGTCGAGGCGATTGGTAATGAAACCACATCCCTCAGAAGTCGAGAGGTCGGGAAACGGACACGGTGTCCGCAAGGTTCAAGCAGGGCTCATGTCGCACCGCTGGCGCACCTCACCCTCCTATTCTTCGCATCCTGGTAAATGAGTATACGAATTCTACTTCATCCGAATCCTCGAAGAGGAAGTCCGTCGCCCGTGACGTGCGCGGCCCGCGGCGCTCGGCTCGAGATGCGCTTCCCTTAAAGCCACCGACATGCTATCCGAAGTTGCACCGCGTGCAGGAGACAAAGAAGGGTTCGGAACCAGTGAGGCTAGGAGTCTTTCGTGTCCCTAGCACAAGTCTCAACGAGCAGAGAATGCGTGAAGAATGTCCTGGAGGGTAGAGGTGTCTTAGACACGCGAGCCTCGCACGAGGCGACAGTTAAATTTGAATTGTTGGTGTTAACAATTTTAGTGGGGGGGGGCTGTAACGTGGTTACACGTACCCTGGTATGGGGGATGAGTCACACAAGATGATGTGACCACACAATGCTGTGGCTACACCGAACAAGAAGCCAGTACGTGGCTGGACTCCCATATTTATACATTCTAATTAGGTTTTATTTCGTAATTACGTAAACCTATAAATTTAGATATGGGCGGCTTCACCGCAAATAAATACAGTTTGAATTATAAGCGAAAGAGTTTTTGCTTTGGTTTGAGGTTGTGGTTACTCTTGGAGTAAGCGAATTGAGATCCGCTACACTCGTACTGGTTCGAGTATAGAACAAAGGTCGGTGACCTTAGCTAAGCTTCCTTAAAATGAAAAAGCTACGGCAGCTCCGCTGCAAAGTGAATTTGGTGGAATAAATTAAAACCTTCAACATGTGCCCATCTTGTATCAGAGAGACTAATGGAAAGGAGTGAATTGTCTGTATGCAATCAGTAGAGTTCTGGGGCAAATGACGAATCCAAGTTAATCGTGCTGTAGAATAGCATAATTGGTTGCACTTTGTTCACTACCCCTGAGCTATTGATAGTTATAATCAACTACAGATGAGAGACAGTGATATTTTATTCACTGCAGTTAGTAATCCAAGTGGGTTCTCCATGAGTACTGCTTCCAGAGAGCTGTCAACGCTTTTGTGACATTTAGTCGTCGTGTGACGCAGCTACCACGTCCCACCGTTTCTGTACACAAGCTAGTGATACTATGTGTGTGACCATAGTACAGAGAATCGGATAGGAAAATCGCTAAAGTGCTTGCGAGCAGCACTCGACTGTTGCGCAATAAGGTGTTTGACAATATAGGTAAGTGTGGACTTAACGTCGACAAAAATCCCATTCTGGATTCTTCACCGGGATGGCAGGCCTGCTGGCAGATATCGCAACGACGATCGCCCCCTGCTGTAACTTTGCCAGGGCCTCTGCACAGAAAGGACTTATAGAAGTGACTTGACCTGACCAACTACTCACATATGTATAGTGCAGAATATGCCGACATCGTTCAGCCACGTCCAGTCTCCTTTAAAAACGTCATCAGGTATTGAGCTTGTTAAAAGAAGCGACCTTCAAGACCTCAAAAGCCTAACCTCGCGAGTGTTTTGATTTCAGATCTATTGGGAATAGATTGGCCATTTCACGTCGTATGTGATCTTCCGGAATATGTCATCGGCTGTCTTACTCCAAGCATATGCCGATCGCCATAAAGCGACATTGCTTATGTCTTGCCGACTGGCGGCAACGAAGGCCCTCCATATACATGATAAAGGGCTACTTGCTATAAATTATGCTCTACAAAATACTAGATAAGACACACTCATCCCATCTGGAAAGTCATCTCGGGGACGAAAAGACATACTTCTTAGCGAGCGTAATGTACTGGTGGACCAGTGAGTAAGTGCGTATTGTATTCATGAGGCAAATTGGTTAAATCCTCGTCTCATGTATCGGCGCCTTTCGCCTGCTCGCTCCGGTTACGTATTGGCAATCGCACGGGCTTTGATTTTGGTCATTAAAAGGCCTTATCCGGTCATACTGTGAAAACACAGCCAAGCTGTTCCCTAAAAAGCTTTCCGCCGATATGACTCGCCGGCAGGCATCGTTGGATCATGATTCCGACCGCTTAGTGACGTTTTGACGGAGGTGCTAGACACTAGAATGGGTATGCCCACCGCTAACCATTTGTAGAAAAATGGTCAGACGGAGCGCATTTATATCGACATGGGTGATAGTGTTTAAGCCTTCTGCAAAGAGATAGTGATGCTAAAGCGTGTTGCAACCTCTCATTGAGCTCGCGCTAAATGGTAATGTGTATTCCTCAGCACGCTTGTTACATCTAAATGGAATAATCTGGTAAATTTTGCGCTTCTTGGACACCGCCACGAAAATCCTTCGGTCTTTGATAGAGATGGATCAACAATACAATTGGCCTGCTGATATCAGCCTCTTTACACTTCAAAGCAAACACACAAAGTCAATCTCGATGATATGAGTGTCCAAAAGCAATGTGAGTAAATAGAATTAGTGATTTGATTTTATTATTAGGTGTATTAACAGTTTTTTATAATGCGCCAACTACACGACACATTGGCTGTGAGCCTGGACGTTAAATGGCAATATGCCGATGACAGATGCAGGCGAAACACACATAAATGCGTATCAGCGAGAAGGTTTTACCACACACTGTTGAGATATCCAACCACGCAAAGCCTACTAGGGAGTGGGAGCCTTGTTGTAAGTTCGACACTTGGTCGGTGGGCTTAACAGTTGTGTTATGAAGACAAGCGGGCTGTTAGTAGCAAAATTTGGAGGTGATATGTTGTCACCTTGACGTCTGCTACGAGATTCTCATGGCACATCCCTCACGGCGATCATGTATCTACTAGGCACAGGTGGTACTTCTAAGGGGTGATGACTGGCGGAGATAGACAGCGCTCGTTTCGCTTTTATTAATTTGATAGGCTTGTTTGTAACGTCTACGTCAATGTTCGGGAAGCAACATCAGGTCATGTGAGCTTATAATCATGGCGTGATCGAATTGTCATGAGTCATTGTGATTCTTGCTCTTGCAGACGCACAAGCTGATCTCCCTGATCCAGGCTATCTAATTTGTGACGAGTTGTAAGTCATTGTGGGTTACTCGGTGGAGTTTCGCAACAATTTTTGCCAAAGGGGGTGACCAGAAAGTGCGTAAATCATGCAGAGGAGGATTAAAGCGTTAGACGCCTTTACCTGTGCGAACGGTTTAGTCGGTGAGGTTGCAGATGTCGGATTTGGACCTGAAGAATTGCTACGATCGTTGTCATCGCACAATATTTTGGTCTTCTCGCCGTGAATAGCTTTAAGGTCGGCGGCCACAAGCGACAATTTTTTATGCACTTAGAAAATTGAGAATCTGCGTTCAATCATTTTAATCTTAATAAAAACAAAAACATACGGAGCACGGATGTCGTGGAGCAAATCAAACCTTTTCAAGCAGTGTTGAGACCAATTAGTACATAAATATCCGCTTCAGAGCATGCACACATAAATTTATCGTGTGAAACGCTTGGATCAATTGAACAAAGACGAACTGTATTTGCTCTGAGAGATTTCATTACTTGAATGTGTGCATTCCATGTTCATCACTTTCCCAGTCGCATTACCAACATTTGCCAATTCTCTACGATTTGGTCGAGGATAGTGCGCAATTCCTTTGATGCCAAACTCGAGTTTAGTTATTGAATCAGAAAATTATTACCTATTGTCATAATCGGATGAAGCAATGCATCAATTGGTATAGTGGTAACACTATACGAGGCAAAACCAATGCAATATTTGCGAAATGAACGACAAAATGTCATTTGAGAATTGTGTTCGTGTGGCAGCAAATTGAAGAGCGGACGGGAAAACACGAAAGAAAACGACTTGGATGGAAGAATCTGCAGTTGCTGAGAAAGCAACGGCTGCGGACGTACACAAATCGTGAACGTTACATGAAAGGTCTTTGTGACGGCGTCTCGCTTTCAGCTTCGAAAGTTTAGTAACCGAACTGCGCCAAGATGTGACACTCCGAACGTTGAGGTTATTGAGAGATTCAGATTAGATTTTATACAAAACATTTTTGTGTTTTTGTGAGTATTGACGATTATGAATCTCCGTAAGCACTTTATCATTGCGTTTAGTAATAACGTATACATTCGTATTGGATTAGATGAGATCAATCCTTTTTATGTAATTACTCTTGGAATTAAAGAGCAGACTAGGTAACCAGGTTCTCAGTTCCGCTCCTGATGAACTTATCGTACTACTTTTGTTCTGTGCAATCGATGATATTTATTGCAAATACACTTAAATAGCAAACCGTTTGATTATCATCTGAAATGTTTGCGTATTGAAGTACATTTTTAGTGACTCCATTTTCAATTCCGCGCGCAACAAAAGAACAACATGTCGGTTCGCCGCGAGGTCGTCTCGCTTTCGCAGTTGCTCCGCCGCAATGAAAAAGCGTATGATATTCGCAATGATCGACTAGTTTTTCTGGTTTTGAAGGAAAAAAAATATTGATGCAGGCATTCGAGCCGAGGAAACAGTCATATGACCTCTCTACCATTAGTATCTTCAAGACGAAAAGCAGAAGCTATGTTGTCTGCAGAGAAGAAGATAGCGGTAATGAGGAAGGCTTAACCAGCAGACATCACTCATAAAGATTGTATTGAACTCATGTAATCAGCCAGTAGCTTATTCGCAGCGCGTGCTGGATGCCAGCCGCGTAGTGACGCCACAGCCAGAGCTTGGAGTGAGCATTTATGGAAGCAATGACTTGACTGCGCTTTCTCACGAAGGTATAATGGAGCACAACTGGTCAATCGCACACTTTTTATCTCGCAATGAGCTCATACCGTCTGGCTTGACACAGTGTACGAGGCGGAGAGTGAGAAATCGTGTGCCATGACTTCCATGTCGCAGTCTTCCATCTCTCAAAGTCAGTCGCAAAACTTGCTTGGGCCAAGCCAGGATAATCAGGTGGCAGCAAGGGTTGTTATTGCTTAGTGTGAGAAGCTTACATGTCATAAGTTTGTGTTGTTGTAGATACATCGTCTTCAGCAGTTGCAGACACTTCAGGCACTCTCGACTCATCAGTCTCCTCCTCGCTGTGACAGCTCAGGAAAATTGCAGGAGATATCGTCGAATCTTACTCAGGCATTTGTTGCGCAAAATCACGGACAAAATAATCAGCAGAAAGAGATCCTGACACAATTTGTCAATCAAATAAAGAATATGATAATGGATTTCAAAGCAACAGGCCAAGAGCAGCAACTTATTGAATTAAAAAAAATTGAAACAAGTATAAGCAATATGGCCGAGTCAGTGACGGAGCTTCGTCAACAGGTCAGTTTTGTTGCGCAGCTTTTTTTAAAACAGACTAAACCATATCGATTTAGGGCTTTGGAGCTTGCGAAAAAAAACAAATGGCGACAACTGACGATATATCTGTGATCAAAGCTGCAATGCTTGCGTTGCAAGCAAAAGTTGAAATTGTTGAAGGTGGTGTGAGCTCGTGCTCGGGTCTTCTAAAGCAAATAATTGGAGCAGAATCACGAAAATATGAAGAATTTCTGCTGGCTGTATCAGATTCAGCTTGCATCTGCCGTTCTGATACTGATGTTGCTAGAAATTCTTCGGTCGTTGATACAGTTTCTTGGAAGAAAATACGAAGCTCGTCCCGCCAATTAATCGCTGATTCGACTCTTAAGCAATCTGCCCATACAAACACTCGAATCAATAAAAAGAGATATAGACCCTGGGACACCGAAATTTGTGAGAGGATGATGGATAATGGAAGCCTTGCAATCGCTTTTCAACACATTGAACAACTACGCGCTCAACGGCGAAAAATACGGCACGTTTGACAGCCGCAGCACCGATATTCATTCTGGATCAGCCAAGACACCCAGCGTCGGACAATGACAACACTAAAATCTCAATTTGATTTATTCTCATCGTTCCATATCAGTTTTATGTTGATCTACCGGTCCACTCAGTCTAGTAGCGTCTAGAAAACTGGTCGCGTCTATTGAACATAGATACACAATTGTTGAAGAAATCGAATAAGTCATACAGCTTTATCACAAAAATCACTCATACATACCGGGTAACCAGCACCATGCGTGGGGTCTTGAATGAGTTTGGCGTACTCTTCACGTAAGCTCTTGCAGGCTATCTTGTGATTCACGCCGTTTTCGCGGTAGCAAGCGGCCAACTCCTCGCGTACAGCCTTAACTGTTTCTTGCGCAAGCAGCACGCGCTTAGCGTATTCTAGCTCAGCGGCGCGAATGGCGATGATCTCGTCCTTGGAGCGAAGCTGCGTAGCGTACATTTTCTTCACTACTTTTTACTGTCAACTATAAAAAGGTATAGTACCTCAAAGACGAAAAGTACTATAATTAGGTACTATACCTGTTGCATAGTTCATCATAGTGATTACAATATGCCATATCAAATATCATACAAGAAAAATAAATTCTGTCTCACAAAAGTGCAAGTGAAATCCTCAAATGTTGAAAATTCTTGAGAAATTATATTCCTTTTTTCCAGTGTAATTGATGGATGAGTTTCTGGCTGATCTACGTGAGCTGGACGAGACGCAGGAGCGCGTTGAGGCTGTAAGTGATGGCATGCTACGCGTTCAGCGAACAGGAGATCCCATTAAAGCACGGATGATGGCAGAAAGCTGGATCCAAGCATTACGGGCTAGCGACTTTCAGTCGGAGCGCGTGGCATTTTTGTACGTGGCCAACCACGTTCTGCAGAAGACCCTATTTGGTGACCCAGAGAATGGCAAAACACCGCTATTTGTGAGTTTATTCAGTCAGTATTTAGAGGAGGCCGTGGCTCTTGTGTGCAACTCCCCCATGGACCGACAAAATGTCACACGACTTTTAGAATTATGGCACGAAAAGCAGGTTTTCACAAACACCCAGGTGCTGAAGATGTGGCGCTGTACGGGCGAAGATTTGCCGCATTTTTTGGAGAATGCAGCATCCATGAATGGCATTGCTGGGGACAAACAAGGTGAGATGAAGAACATTGATGCAAAAAGGGAGCTGCCCGACAGCCATGATGCAGTTGACGAGCTTCATGACGAGCTACCCATAAAGCTCAACTCGCACTCAGTGAATCCGGTGCTGGACGTGCTAAAGAAGATGGACCACCACAGAGCGGCAGTGAAATTTTTGGACCAAAAGATTAAAGAAAGACATCAAGTTCTGCTGAACGACACCATTGCGAGGTATCAGACTGCAGCGGATCTCGTCGAAGACAAATCGATAGCTTCGTCGCAGATAAGACAGCGTGCGGAGGATTGCTTGAGATTAGTGAAAGTGCGCAATGTACGTGAAAGTCGTAAATGCGATATAATGGGCGATGACTGAGTAATTGTTACCGCTAGAAATTCATGTCAGAATTGGGAGACCTAAAAGAGAAGCTTTCGGAAGCTGTTGTCGATATGATCGATTACGAGGTAAAACTGCGAAAGTATGTTCTGCTTGCAAGATTCTGTACGAAACTGAATGTGATGGTGCTGTAGGAAGAGGCTGCGACCAAGATTGAGCAAAAACTCGAGGTACGGCACAAGATGCCGTAATATAACTTGGCGTGTCGACACTTACATCTGCTATTTGTTTTGTGGAACGTAATAGCAATGTGATGAAATTGACTTGGGGCTTATGGATCTTGCAGATCACCAAAAAAAGTTTCCTGAAGAAGTAAGTTGGTGAGATTTTGAAAATTCAGCATTTTATCTGACGTTGTGTGACAGTGGCTGCGGGCACGATTCGTTAGTTTGGAGCGTAGGAAGCGGCGTGAGGAAATTCAGCGTCAAAAAGTTGAACAAATCGCTCGTTTGCATCAGGAAGCAATAGCAGAGAGCGCAATGCATGCTATGAGTCTGGAGGCTGATATGAATTCAAACTCTGCATCAGAGCTACAGTCGCTATCTGGGGACCTTCGAGATCGTCCAATGGAAAAGGATTCAAAGACCGACAACGAGAACGAGCTTGTCTGGAATCCGTACGTGCTTTTTTACGAAGCACAGACATTATCGGTGCATGAGCAGTTGTTAACTTTCATTGTGTACTACCACAGAATTCGTAAGGAACTAGTGCCGCTTCGAAGTCTCAATGTTGACTGGGAAGACTGGCGAGATCATTAAAACATCATATTTACTGGTTGAAAATTTTTCGCTATTATAGCTTACATTTTAATTATGGTTTGCCGCAAGGACCGGATATAGATGATTAGTCAATGGTATCGCTCAATGATGAAGCTATCTGATGGTTTGCTCTTGATATATCGATTCTGTTTAGCTGGTCGATTGAAGAGGCCGCGACTATTATCGTCTTTCATTATGCTCTTTTTCCTCAACTCTTATCGCGACTTTGTCTAACAAAGTAGATTTTTTCATCTGTTCTTGACATAAAATTTCTATCTGCTTATTAAAAGTCTTTATCGAGCGAGCGACGAGTCTTTGATTATCAGCTTTGTTTTGCAGTGTTCAAATATCACCCAGATCATAAATAGGGGAGGATATACATGTCGGAGAGCAAAATTTATGAAAGTTCTACTAGATTACAACAGTGCAGCAGAACTGTACGATAACTATGATACTGAAATAGGAAAGGTGAGTGCACCGACAAACTTGAGCGATGTAGCACCCTTCTGGATTGCGGCCTCTTGGGGCACTAAGCTGTTGTCCTTAAGCCAATTTTCGTTGTACAATTTGCTGCCATAGCGCACACCACCGTCAGCAAGAATTGTCACGATAGTGTGTCCCGGGCCAAGTTCCATAGCCATCTTCACTGCTCCGAGCACATTAAGTGCACTACTTGGACCAACAAAGATGCCATCATTGCGAAGCAAAAAGTAAGACATGTTCACGATCTCCTGGTTTGTAGCAATGATTCCCTTGTCAACGATCGACTCACGCAAATTTTGAGTCACTCGTGCCATTGCTGCTACACCCTCAGCGATCGTGACACCCTGCGCCATTGGCGCAATTTCTAGACCATTCTTAAATGAGCTTGTCAATCTACTATTATTGATAAATACCGCCATAGCTGCCGTCTCTTTTGGGTCAATAAGCCAGATCTTGACATTCGGCTTTTGTTCCTTCAAAAAACGCGATATGCCGGCAATAGTTCCTGATGTTCCCGCAGACGTCACGAATCCGTCAATCTCCCCATTTACCTGGTGCCATATCTCTGGCGCCGTTCCGTTATAATGCGCCTGCATATTGGCAGTATTATCAAACTGATTAGGAAAGTGTGCGTTCGGTGTAATTTCTGCTAGATGGCGAGCAACGTGAAAAAAATGATTTTTTTTGTCCGCCAAGGACGTTGTGGGTAAAACATGCACGTGAGCACCCATAGCCTTCATCATTTGTATTTTTTCCTGCGCTGTATTATCTGGCATAGTAAGCAGCGTCTTGTAGCCTCGTGATGCTCCGAGTAGCGCAAGTGACACACCCGTGCTGCCTCCAGTAGCTTCGATAATAGTTCCTCCGGGTTGGAGTAGACCGCGTTTTTCGGCGTCAAGAATCAACGACTTAGCCACTCGATCTTTGATACTACCGCTGGGGTTTGTGTATTCGGCCTTTGCTAGAATTTTGCATCCAGTGAGCTTGGACAATGTCGCGAGCTTTAACAGTGGTGTGCTACCAACAGATGCCAAAAGATCAACCGAGTTTGTCGCGAGATACGAACTTGATCTAGACACCATAGAATTCGAGCTCGGCAAACTCAAGGTAGTTGGCCTGTGACGCATTTTATCTATGATAGGTCTCTAATTTCGACAAAATGGTGACAACAAATGAGTCCTTCGGTAATCATCCGTAAAAATGGCACTTTATACTGAACAAAGAACTGCGATAACCAACGCACAAAATATGGGCTTGCAGGCCGCTTAAACTGAGAGCCTCCTCAGGCACACAGTACTTTACACTTGCTCAAATTCAAAGTTATATGAATAAGTGTTCCCGACTGGTTGAGGTTGCGATGTTAGGCCTTTCGTATCATGATTTCTTTTCTATTTTTCAAAACAGCAAACATAGCTGAAGTTTATGCTCCAAGAAGTTTGACAACGAAATGATATGTTATAGATCGTGCAATCACAACTTGAGACAAACCAAGGTATTGTCTCCGCGGTGACTTTGCACCGACAGGCATAATAAAAAATGAAGAGATTGGAGTGGCCGCAGCTCGATGTGCCGTCGCACAGGCTTACGTTTCGAGTGTTTTAAGCAACGAGTTCTAACACCTGGAGAAGAGAATCAGATCACTTACCGTCCGCAACGTGGGTGGTACTTGGCTAGTACACAAATTGTGCATATATATCAGAGTGCTGCATGGGTCGTGGTTTACCCAAACGGAATTCTCGTGGGTTTGGGTAATTTGCCAATACCCATGCGACCCACTCCCCATGCAAGCTCGAACGCTGGAACCCTTGTTGTAAATTATTTCATTCCTCCACCAACGAGACCGCAAACAGCTCGGACAACGAGAACAGGAACGCCAACTGCTCGTCACAAACAGCCCGCTCCTACGCTACGTCGACGCCAAGTTTCCCGTATCCAAACTGGCCAGGTCTATCGGCTCACAGCACCTGGGGCCGCTGTTGACAATGCTGATGAAAAAAACGACTTACCAGTGCTATCAGACCCAGCCCAGGATGAGAT